CCCACTAGACATGTACCTTCTGTAAGACCAAGGTTAAGATGTGACAATCTGCCCCCCTGGTCATCATGGCAGGGAATTTTTCATCTGAACTACAAACACAGTCAGTTTACTTCAAAACAGCTAAACCAAGGAGGTGGTCTCCATGCTACATCTTTCCTCCTGTCATTCTGCTCCTCGTGTATAGAGAACCCACTCCTGGGGTCCCTGTCTCAAGCTGGTTCTGTAAATGTAAGTCAAAATGAGATTGTGTGGCATCAGAAGACAGATCTAGAACCCCTATCTCTAGCACCTCCTCCCCAGAACAGTCTTCCATGGCACTCTTGGTTTTGTTCACCATATAATGTCAAGTGCCATGAAGATTTTGGCCCTGGATCAGTGGTTTTGGAGCAGAGGAAGTTGATTGCATTAGAAGACTTGGGAGGGGAACAAATTTCTAGCTGTGCAGCTGGATTCCTTTGCAAGAGGATGTGAAGGAATTAAGAATGATGACAAGACCTGACTAAAATGCCTTCTTGTGGTGGGGGTGCTGAGGATGATGTTAAAGCCAGTTCCTCTTCCTCCCCAGCCATTCTCCCCCAAACACTCAGGCATCTTGGGAAAGAATGTCGCTACCTCAAATTTCCTTCCAGATTTGCAGCTTCTGATTGGCCTGGAGACTGTGTGAAGAATATAGTTTACTTTGCTAATGCTATGGGCTCGGGTTTCAAATATGGGCCCCTTAGCAGGATGCTCAGAGCAGTATGGGAATGGGCATCCTTGTCAATCTAACACTGATATGGGCCTGGGCATAAACATTCTGTGACTGAAAACTGGGCCAGGAGGGAGCAAACTGGGGATTTCCCATGATCCATGAACAGTAAGTGCTATGTCAGTGTGTGCAAACTAAAACTGTCAATTTGTTTACACGATGCACATAAACAATTAAATCTTTGTTAATGTAATGTTAACATGAACCCAATGGTAGCACTTGCTTACATGACTTCACTGGTGGAGAAAGCAGGGGTGACATTGCTTATCTACATACCCTCAAGCTGCAATCTGGGAAACCACCCCATTGGCAAGATACAAGTGTAAGCTGGGGATTCTCACATCTACCTCCCCAGAAGTTCACAGGCATAGGTCAAAATAATTTTTTACCCAGCCAGACACATACAAACAACATGCTGCAATCATGCATGGAGTTCACATGGTTTGGGATGGCTGCATTTGTGCAGTCCATTTCCTATCAGAAAGAGTTCCTCTCCCCCGTCCTCCCCTTGGTAATCTGAACAGGGTTAGAAATCTGCTAGCAAGTACGGGACCATATATTAAATCTAAGTGCTTGTTCCTCTGCTTGACATTACTGGACATGTCATGTCACTCTCTTATATTTACAAAGTCGTAGAAGAAATACAATCTTTTTTTTTTTGCATTTTTGTTTTTATAACACTAAAGGTTAAACCTCCATCAATCAAACACAATTACACCTACAGTTTCAAGGAACTGGTGTCCCCTTCTGAACCTCTACTGAGGGTCAGCAACAAGCAGGCACGTGGCTTTCTGGATTGACAGGACAAGAAGGACCATGGTGGGGTGCAGGCTTTGGGGCAAGGGCTCCACACTGTGGAAAGTGTTTTTGTAATGTTATTCCGAGGAGAGGAAAGAAATGATTGGCAAAGCCTCCTTTTCCCTTCACTCTAGCTCTCCTTTTGGGAGGTGCTGAGAAACTCTCCTTGACTTCAGAAGCAATGAAAGGTTCTCAAGAGCCCTCTGGCAGCATTCAGCTGCTCACCGAATTGGGCCCTGACCGTTAACTAAATAAGTATTCCCCCCCCTTCAGCTAGGGACAGGCGATATCAAGAGTGGGGACCCCAGAAACAAACTAAATACTAGTCATACTTTGTACCTGTATGGTGCCTTTCATCAGCCATGTGGGTGAGTAATTCTATTTCTTGCTGTTTTACAGAGGGGAGTCAGAGGTACAGTCTTGCTAAGGTCTGGCACAACAAGTCAGAAGTGCACTGGGGAAGAGAGCCCTGGTAGCCCGGGCTGGTTCTAACAGCTGGTTCCTCCTAAAAGGTGACGCTTGCTGACATTCTAGGTTCAAATAGTCAGGTTTTGCTACTGTTTATGGCCTTTTTTTTTCAAAGCAAAAAGCTTTGATGGTTTTTCTTCAATTCACTTAAAACAATCTACTGCCAACACCTACATACAACTCTATAGCAACGAACCAATGTCTGCTGCCTAAGCAACCCTACTATAATAAACCAGCATGAAGAGCGCCCCTTAGAACAACAAAGTAAGGCATTGTGCCCTTCCCTCACAAATAACCGTGTAGCAATGAATTTTTGCCAGCCGCTGCCTTACAGCAACAAACCAACATGCAGATATGCTGCAGAGAGAAAGTCAGTAAAATATCAAGATTTCCACAGCACGAGACCGGGGAGGGGATGTGTTTTCCAGCCCCCGGCCCCAAAGCTTCTGATACCCTTCTGCCACAGAGCTCAGCAAAATCCACCAGAATTAAAAGAACACAGCGGGGGATTATAGAGATCTGATTTTAGGAGAATCTGGAATGAGTAGCAGGATTTGCGGAGTAGCCAGGTACCTTAAATGTCTTTTTGCATCTGGAGCTAAGTGCTGTGGAACTGTTATGGATCTGGGCCTGAATGTCTGGACCCACTGGCCAAAAGCAAGTAGGAGTGGTTAGGAGTCCCGTCCAGACCCTGGCATAGCCTGGAAATGCTGAGCCCTCCCTTGGGCATTTGGAAATATCCCCAAAGCTTCCCAAGCAGCAGCAGTGTCAAGCCAAGGTACAATAATTCCCAACTATGCTTCTTGGGGCCAGCTCTCCATCATCCCAATATGCTTTGCGTAGACCCTACAGAAGATCCCATCTTAGCCCCTGCACACACCTGGCTGGTCCCTTCCCCAGTGACACCCCATGGCCATTTTCTCTGTTCTCCTGCTTTAACAAAAATGGAAAAACAAAAGAACTCAGCAACTAACATTTATCTGCCAGCCCTGGATGGCTGCGAGAAGCCCTGGCTGCCTACTTAATTGACTGCCTGTCGCTGCTGAAAGTGCAGAGCTCAGCAGAAAAGAAGGCAGGCAGGGGCGGGTGGTGCTGCTGATCAAGGTGAGAGCCGCCTTGCTGAGCAGGCACTGAATTATGGGGAGTGCTTTGCAGATCCCTTCTTAGCTGCACAAGGAGAAGGACTGCAGTGCACACCAGAATTAACTCTTCCTGTTCTGGTGCAAGATAAACTGATCATTCCTTTCCATTGCTTTCTCAGGCCTGGACTTGATCCACAGCACCCATTAGCACCCAGGGTCCCTTAATTTGTCAGATTATACCAGGCAGGTCCCAATTGTCTTTATTCATGGGGCAGAGGTGGATTTTTTGCTATTTATAAAATGGCATGATTAATGGTACCTGTAAGATTAGGACACTGTGAATGCCAGTGCTGTGAGCACAGCTGCTAAACCCTAACTTGTAACTCCACTCCCTGAGGCTCCCTTGTGAAGGGACCAACATTTGTGCCAAAGCAGACACTGGGTTCACAATGCAGGCAATGGCTACAAACACCCAACTCAAAGCCCTTATGATTCTAGCTGAATTTAGAAGCACTGATACATTAATCCTGCTGTATCCTTGCATAGATACTCAGCGCAGCTAATGGGCCATCTGCATCTCTTTAGATCACCATTTCCAATTGTTAATGCTATGTTCTGTTGCCAAAACAGGAGATTCCCACCGATAGGCAGTGTTCAACTAACTCTCTTTCAAATGATCTACTCAGGTCAACTCTCCCTTCTCCAACAAGCGTCACTAGTTTTTCCAAGCTTCCATCTTTATCTCCATCCCACCAATGTCAAGAAGCAACCTCAGCAAGTAAATAATACTGACAATCTACTGATGGGTAAGGGTAGACCCATCGCATACTGTATTATAAAGACTCCATCCACCACTTTTTTCTGACGTGTCCAAAATATTGGACCCAACTTATTTTTTAACTTTGCTGTCCCAAGTCTGGGATACTTTCTGAGTCAATCTGGGTTTCATTTAAAGCAGGACTGTCCAACTGGTGGACGGTGGGCCATGTGCATCCCGCGAGCAGTTAATTTGTGGCCCCTGGATTCCCACCATGCTGCTGCTCCCCCTACAGCTTCACCTGCAGCAGCCACCAGGATTTCTAGGCTTCCTGTGCCCCATCCTCCAGCTTCCACTTCCTACCCCCAGCCAAGGGGAGCGGTGCATGAGCGCGTGTGTGTGTGTATAGTCATAGAGTACATGTGTATATAGGATGTCTATACATATATATAGATATAGATATATCTATATCTCTATATATCTATCTACCTATCTATATATAGATATATCTGTATCTATAGAGATATAGATATTATAGTCTACTTTTATTTTAGCAGGGAGGACAGAGTGATTAAAAGGGTGGGATCAATTTCCACAGCAATTCCAAATGGTTAAGTATTACCACTTGGAGGCCTTACAGCTAAGGAGTAATTTACCATCATCCTTTCCATACCTTTGTGTAGGGTAGGTAAGTGAAGTTGAAGCTATCTCACCAATTACTACTCGCCACAGAACCTCCAGAGGAGTGGGACTGTTGCAGTACTTTTGAAGCTCTGCCATCCATGGTCCTACAGGTCAATCCTACTGATTTTCTGCCTGTCTGGACACATACACACACGCACACGCACACGCACACACACACACACAAGCACTGATGTGTAGCAGGAGCTGCTATTCTGATGCTTTCAGGTTGAGCGCCAGCCAGGTGGGGTGGATCAGGGAAGGGTTAAAAAGGATGGGGATCGACTCGTCCAACCAGGAGGAAGTCAAGGCAAAAGCAAGCCAGGAGGGGATGGAGAGAGTGGGGCCCATCTAAGCCAGTGTCACAAAAGACCCTCTCCCCGCCGCCTCGCATCCACCCAAGCGATCTCTCAGCACCGTGTCTCACACTTACGATGCAGGACATTATCTACAGCATGATGAGCTTATGTACACATGGACTGATCCCTTTGCATGCTTTAGAGAGAGACACACATACAGACACACACGGAAGAGAGAGAGACACCCGGCCAAACTGAAGGGGGGAGAGGAAGAGAATGGAAACCACTGCCTTTTTAAGCACAGTTGACACAGCCGGAGCTCAGGGCAGAGAGGGAGGGGACCACAGCAGAGAGGGTATACAGGAGAGGATGCTAGTGAGAGGGTGTGTTGAGGGGAGGGGAGGGCAGGGGAAAGCGTGGGGTTCCTTCATGGGACACCAGTACATGAAAGAGCTCTGGATGAGTATTTTCCCAAAAGTCCTGAACTGGCTGCGCATCCGCTTGGAAAACGACCCAGGGTGCCCAAGGGTGAAGTGGCTATAGGACACCAAAGTGAAGACCCTTCTCTTTCAACAGCTGAAAGGAAGAGGACAAAGAAAGGAAGGGGAATAAAGAAGGGAGACAGAAAGAAAGGGAGGAATCATGTGGTTGGTTGGTTTTTACATGTCAGCGTCATCAGTACGATGCGGCTATCATCAGTGCCCCGTTTTGTCCCACACTTTGTGTCGCTTCCCATATGGCCGATGACTTGAAGGATGCCTTGTCAGAAGTCGGAATACATTTTGCTGATTCTTCTTCACTGTAATTCCCCCCCTTCACTCCTGAACACACAAAAGTTGTGAAAGAAACAATCCTCTCTCTCTCTCTCCCCTTCCCTCCCCTTTCTCTCTCTCTCTCTCTTTCGCTCTGTCTCCTGTATAACGCATTTTGTTTTGTGTGTTGTTGTTGTTGGGTTGTTGTTGTTGTTTTGTTTTGTTTAATGCTGATGTTATTAACATTTGCTGAGTAGGCAGAGCAGGGACGCTGCCAGCAGCCACAGTGGTACGGCCAAACTCATGGAACCGTTGTCTACTCTCCCTGTGCCGGGCCCTGTAACAAGAGAGGGAAGAGAGAAGAGGACAGAGTTAAAGCATGGAGAAAGGACAGGTCCATACTTTTCCAGGAAGCAAACTGCAGCAACTGCAAGCTCCCTCAGCCAGTGCTCCTGCTCTGTCCTTGCCAGTGGCTCCTACTGGGAGATCTTGGGGCAGCAGTACCTGTTATCTCTCCTACAAACCATGCTCTCCTCCATTTCCTATTGCTTCAACTGCTGGGAGAGGCTGGGGTAGTGGTAAGGTTGTCCTGAGCAAGCCTCCCGCTCTGCCTACAGTGAAAGAGGATCTGACTGAAGAGTATTTGAATTCCAAATGCCCCACGTTTCAGTTGCATTCTTTGCAATGCCTCTTGCTGGGACAGGTCAGCACTGGGCTATTTCCTGCAGCTCAGCCTGGTGGGTGAGCCAGAGTCGGGTTTCTCTCTGCCAGCACTTGGATACCATTCCTACAGAGCTTTCTACTGGAGCAGACAGGGCCTGGGGGAGCTGTGAGCTTCCTCACAGTGAGAGTCTACACCACTCCTAGCACCAACCCCACTTCTCTGAGAGGCTGGGGTTGCTATAGATATTCATTCTCTAATCTGAATTTCCTAGAGTGATCTCGCCAGGGTCAAACATGACCTGCATTGGTTGGAAAGATGGAGTGGATCTCAGAGAGCTAGCTTGGTCAGAGGAGCCAACTACATGGGATCCTCTGGGCCCTGTCCCACCTTGGGAAGAGGGCTGTCATCTGAAATAGATAAAACTTTCCACACGTCCATCATCTTACGCCCCACCCCTGGCAAAACTAAAAGTCAGCACCGATGAGCCTGATGTATGGCATGGCCCATCTATCACATCCCCTACCACGGTCCCCAGGCAAGGAGGCCACTTTGTCTCCTGATTCACACTCTTGTCACTCAACGCCTCCAGAAAAGTGGTTTCTGCCCACTCTCCATTCCTTTGTCCTGAAGAACTTACAAGGCCCTGGCCCTGCCCCTTTCCAGTGCACCCCTTGATCTTGATCTGAGATTCCTGCATCCAAACCATACCCCCCGAACGTACGTACATGGCTGGGTTACACAGCACTCGTTACTCGCCCTTGGCTTCTGACCTTATGCCAAATGGTGGAACCTCTTGCCATCTGCAGGGGGTGAGGACATGCCAGTGGGCTAGCCTTTACTCTGTACTGTTCCCAAAGCCTGCCAGTAAATTGTCAGCTCCTGCACAGAGCTGTGGGTATGGGTGTGTTCACTGTGCGGGTAATGGAGTCTCCTGACACTTGCTCTTCTGCAGCCAGAGGAGAGGGGGGACCCTGGGGCACGTTGTCCTCTAATGTGGGCCAGGCTCCAGCTCCTCTTCTGGTGCCTCCAGAGCTTCTTGAAGTTCTGGCTGCGCTTTCCTTTACATACTCTTATCTCTGCCCACCCCCATCTAAGCTTCTGAAGAGTTATGAAATCACCTTGTTAACCTTGTCATGGCCATGGCCAAAATGTTCATCCCCTTTCACCAGTTCAAAGGGAATGGGTGCTCTATAATGGGTGGGGCCTTTGCATGGTCTCCCCACAGCTGTGGCAAATTTACCAAGTGACACCTACCAGCTCCTCAAACACCTCTAAGGAGCAGAAGGTGTTGCTAAGTGCTCTCTGCTCAGTGCCCCCTGCCAGAACCCTCATTTTAGCCCTATAACCTCACTCCTGTCCCACTGACTGCATTGGTTTCTCCCTGAAATCATTTGTGACTCTGGCTCTGTTCCCCGTAACTTTAAAGAGGGCAGGCCTTTAATGTCAGGTTGCCGCGAGACACCCATACCAGAGCTGTCTAAACAGGAAGAGACCCGCCTGCTGTGAGAGTCTGGAGCTGGAGCATCATTGGGGTTTCTCTGTAGCTAGCCCATTTCCTTATAGCAGCCCTGCTGACAGAGGCTGAGCCCCCTAGGGTGACCACAGTACGTGCCTCAGCAAATATGCCACACAATATCCTGCTTTAGCTTCCTTCAGTGAAAGAAGGGCAGCGCATCTCTTCACCCGCCCTCCTTGTGGTGGCCCTTAAATGCCAGGGCTCGTTATAATTCTGCACATTGATGAGTGTCTGTTTGCAGCCAGACGCCGGCTCCTCGGGGGCTGATTCATCACAGCATTCCAATCAATAAAACATGGAACCAATCAGCGAATGTCTTTAGTCCCAGGGGAGGCTCCGTAATTATTTATTTGTTAATCGGGATGGGAAAGGATTTCAACGTAACATTTACGGCCCTGCGGCACTGCCCCTATAGGGAAGAGGAAAGGGAGTGCCAGCAAGGCTCTGATTTTCGCAAGGGGTGGGAGGCAGGGGCTCAGCTCTCTGCCGCAGCAACAAATAATGCAGGCTAGCTACAGGAATATTAAATGCTAACATGACTGACATCTTCTCATCCATCCTCCTCGTTATGGGTCTCTTTTCTGGACTGCTTTTAAGGCGGTGGTTCTACTTTAAATTCTCCCTGCAGTGCCAGGCAGTGGCGGCTTTTTATTGCAGGGTGTAGCATGTGTGTGCGCGCCTGTGGTTTTGTAAACGTATGGCTTGCCTATATGAGCATATGTTCACATGTGCATGGGAGTATCAGAGTGGAGAAGATTGGGGGTGCAGGGATGGGGTGGAGGGGTAGGTGTGTAAGGATGGGAGGATTTTGTATGTGGGGGGAGAATCAGGTTGTATGAGAAGATGCATTGTCTGGAGCAGGTGGAACTATTTAGTAAGAAAAATTATCCCTACCAGGACAGTCCACTGGAGTTTAATAGCCAATGCAAAGCTTTCCATAGGAGGTTTTCTGAGCTGTCTATGGAAGCCTATAGAAAATTTAATTCTCTGTTCTATAGGACAATTAATAAAAAGAAAAAGAGATAGTTTCTCATAATCCTTTACATTCTGTAGGCCTGTTGTGTGTCAGTTGTTTTACTAACCCAACACTTTGTTTAGTACCTCAGCTGTTAGTGACCTGATTTACTTTGCAAATGAAGGAGATGATGCCAAGTCATCTGGGTCAGCGGCTCTCTAGCGTATTGCTCCAATGGGCTGCTATCCACCCTCAACATTTCTCCTGAAAAAGCACGTGCCCATGTTATCAAACTTTTACTAAAAGCCCTAACAAGATGTACAGAGCATGGTGCAATCTGTGGACCAGCTGTGCCCCACTTATCCTGAGTGGTCTGTAAACAACAGTCTCAGACACATAGGTCAAGACAATTCATTTTCCACCTGACTGCCTATGGCTTCTTTATCTGTTCCCTGTTTTGCTTGTGCATTTGGTCACCTACAGCACATGGAATGGTTTCTGCTCCCTAGTTGCATGACAGGAACTTTTGCAACTCAAGGCACACCAAGAAAGAAAAGTGGGTTTATAATGTTATAAATGCTTAGCCAAATCCTCTTCCAGCTTCAAATTTCTGTGTTTTTGTGCACAGGTGTACTAACACCTGGCATTTGAAGAGTCACAAATCATGACTAATAGGATCCCACAAATCATACTAAACCTGTCACAGTATTTTTATTCACCAACATGTTTCAGTGTAGCATTTTTATGATTCAGTGATTATATAGGTATATATAAACATCTTCCAGCAGTGGCCCTGCAGATGTGGAGCTGGCGGTGGGAGCTCCCTGCTGGTGGAGCTGGGGAGCTTGTTCTCCACCCAGCTCTGCAAGTGCAGCTCCCCAGCCAGTTCCCCCTCTAGCTCTGTGCTCATGAAGCTGGAGGGGAACAAGCTCCCCAGCCCCTGCCCTGCGTGCCCAGGTGGGGACAGTATCCCCCTGTCCTGGCAGCAGAAGTCCCCCCCCTTCCCCTCCCCCGGTGGGGGGGAGGCCTGCAATCTATCCATGTACACAGGTGTGTAGGTGGCAAAGGTTGGACATCCACAGTAGTGGGTCTATGTGCAATTGTGTCAGTTTCTAGAGTTGTTCAGATAGGATTGGGACAGACATTCAAAAAGCCTGAGCCTGAATTGATTCAACGTTTGCAGGTTAGTCTAACCTGACTAAGCTGAACCAGTTTGCAACTGCACAGACATCTTCTCTGGACTGAAGAAATGCAGGTATATGCCTGCAGTGGCTCAGGCTAGAATTTAGGAGGCACTACAGCAGCTCTTTCTTCCTTTCCACAGTGCTGATCTGAGGGGGGACCTGGCCAGGCCCCAGCAGGATGCTCTGATTAGGGAGGGGTTCCCACCCCCTCCCGACCATCAAGGGAGCCAGCAGGGCACTGAGTTACACAGTAGGGAGTTACACAGGGAGCTGTTAGCATTTATCAGCTCATCAAACAAAACAACATGCTTTCTCATTAGTTCAAGCTCTTCTTAGACAACTTTTTCCAAGGAAGGAATGAAGGGACATTACCAGTTACCTGTTGATTAGCTCCAAAAAGCCCAAAACTGACACTGTCCTGTCTGCCTTTGTCCCATCTCCCACAGCACAGACCATAGCCAGCATGTGGTATGGTAGCTAGTGCTGAGAGGTGCCTGTGTAAGGCAGAGGGGAGGGGGGAATTCCTGCTTGAGCAGGGAGTGGTGGTGGGAGGGGGAGAGAGGTTGGTGAACAGGAGGAAGCTAGGCAGACGCTGCTGTACCTGCAATCTCTACCAGAGCTCCACCCAAGGTGCAGAGGGGCAGGGCCAGCCCTGCTGGGCTGGAGCAGAGAGCAAAGCCCCTCCCAGGGTTGCAAAGCATCTGGGATGCTAGGGGACTCTAGTTTAACTTAAACCAGGAAGGAGTCTGGATAGACATTGCATAAACCAGTTTGGCCCAAATCAGTTAAGTCTAATGCTACATTCAACTAGGTTTATCTCAAACCGGTTTCATCCATTTTCAGACTGGTTTATGTGCACTGAACTTCTGTTCTGTTACAGGTTTAAACCAGTTTCTGATCACTTAAACTGGTTTATGTGTAATGTCTGTCTCTAGCCATAATGCAGATGGTCTTTGTGCAGTACTGCATAGATCCTGCACCGTGGCTGGGTGAAGGGTTGTGGATATGTACAGCAGGG